CACACACACACACACACACACACACACACACACACACACACCTACACCTAAAATATCACACACTACTCTGACACCGCCCTCAGTGAACTCAAGCCCCCCCCCCCCCGGATCTAATGTATGGCATATCATACATGGGCTAGCAATATATATTAACTTTGCACCTGCATTAGTACAGGTAGTCCTCGGCTTACAACAGCTCATTTAGTGACCGAAGTTGCAACGGCACTGAAACATGTGACTTAAGACCATTTCTCACACTTATGACCATTGTGACCTTCCCCAAGGTCCACATTGGTGAGGGTTGCAGTGTCACTGGAAGCTTTCAAGAAGAGATTGGATGGCCATCTGTCAGAAATGGTGTAGGGCATTGCTCAGCAAACTGCGGCTCCGGAGCCGCATGTGGCTCTTTCCTCCCTCTGCTGCAGCTCCCTCATCGGTTGGCGCCACAATTTTGAGAGGAGCTTCCGGTGGTGGGGCAAGAGAGAGAAGAAGCACATTGCGCCAGGAGAAGACTCTATGGCAAAGGGAGGGTTTTCCAGTTGTCTCCACAATTGATAGGGCTTTTGGCTAGGACAGGTAGAGGAAAAAGTACGCCGTACTAGGAGGAGACTCTATGGTGGGGGAAATTGAACTTCTGGTCAGCCCCAGAATTGAACAGGGGGCTTCCGGTTAGGACCTTTGTGGCTCCCAGTGTTTTCTTTTCTGTGGGAAACAGCTGCAAGTGGTTCTTTGAGTGTTTAAGTTTGCCGACCCCTGGTGTAGGGTCTGCTTGGGGCAGGGGGGGGGTTGGTCTAGATGACCTACAAGGTCCCTCCCAACTCTCTTACTCTGTCTGTCTGACCTTCCAACGGGCAAAGTCGATGGGGGAAAGCCAGATTCACTTTAACCAACCGGGTTACTAACTTAACAACTGCAGTGATTCTCTTAACAACAGTGGCGCGATAGGTTGTAAAATGGGGCCGAACTCACTTCACACCTGTCTCGTGCAGCAACTGAAATTTGGGCCTGGATTGTGCCCATAAGTTGAGGGCTTCCTGTATAAAGATGTGTGGAAGAATTTAATCAAGAGGTCTTGCAGGATTCTGATTGCCTTGGTGCAGAACCTTAGTCGTCTCCTCTAATCGCCTGGATTATTTTTTGTGTGTACAATTTTTTATTTTGTTTTAATACAAACAATCCATCTTCCATTAAACTGTGTCGCCTGGGGTGCAAATATCTCGAGCGATAACACTTAAACTTTACAACCATACTCGCTATTTATCTGCTCACGGCCTAATACTGATATACAGAACAAACCTGGTCCTGTAGCAATCTTGTTCTTAACTTATTTAATTCTTTTTTTTAAAAAAAAATATTTTTTATTAAGCAGTTTATTCTGTTTTTTTTAAACATAAATATCATCTTTGCAATATTTCTATTTTGTTAAGCATCCATTATACTCCTTTTATCTGTACATATATCTGTACATATATACCTTTATATATAAAAGAAACAGGTATTGTGATCTCCGGAACTTTAAAATATATTGCTCACTTGCTGTGGCCCAGCAGGAGCCGTTGGAGCTGCAAAAAGACTCCGATAGTGAGGGACTCTATGAGTCGGCTATGGAGGATGTGGAGGACCCTGGGCAGGGTTCAGATTCCGAGCAGGGACCAGAGAGGCTGGTTGGCCACCAGGAGGCGCCTGAGGCATGGAGCAGCGGTGAAAGCCAAAGGGAGTATGTCCCTGACATCAGNGTTTTTATATATACTAGCTGACAACCTGGCATTGCCCAGGTATTTATAGACATCAAAGTGCTTGTCTGACAGGAAGCCATTGAGAGCCCCCTACTCCCATGCCCATCATCCCTGCTCTCTCCCTTCCCCCTCTCATATGCTCCTCTTTCCTGCCCCATCTACGATCTTGGCCCTTTGCCCCAAATCCATCAGGCGCTTCCCCATTGGTCCACTGGAGGGCGAACATCACGACTGGCTTTCCAGAGGAAGCAGTGAAGGAACTGACATCACAAACAATTGCTGCTCTAGGATGCCGCACTCTCTCTCCTTAACGGCCTGGACTTGTAGTAAAATTAAAACGATGGGTATCTGCAAAGTTCTTTGGAGAGAGGTCCATTTACCCAGAATAAAACAAATCAGCGTAAATTGCTCTAAATATCATTGCCAGCAGTCCAAATGGTTGAAGTTAACTCTCTTTTGAGGTGGGAGATATTTGAGGAAATACCTTTCTTATAATGGGAAATACGATTAAAGGTTGTCCTTGACTTGCCACAGTTCATTTAACAACAGTTCTAATTAACATCCCTGGAAAAAAAGTGACTTATGATCATTTTTCACACTTACGCCCATCGTAGCATCTCCCAGCTGTTACCAACTTAACACCTGCAGTGATTCACCTAACAACTGTGGCAGGAAAAGTTGTAAAATCAGGCAAAACCCGCCTAACAATTGTCTCGCTTAGCAACAGACATTTGGAGCTCAGTTGTGGTCATAAGTCAGAGACTACCTGTAGTTTGCCAATTTCATACAATCCCAGAAGTGCTTTTTTCAAGAGTCAACTGGACTTTCTGGTTTTTCTTTTGAAAACGTTTCACTTCTCATCCAAGAAGCTTTTTCAGCTCTGACTGGATGGTGGGGAAGGGAAGGAATTACACTCCTTGCAGCCACTTGGAGATTTATTTGTGTCTTCTTTGAAGACGTTTTGCTTCTCATCCAAGAAGCTTCTTCAGCTCTGACTGGAGGGTGAGGAAGGGAAGGATTAGCAATAGCAATAGTTAGACTTATAGGGCTTTCAGCCCTCTCTAAGCGGTTTACAGAGTCAGCATATTGCCCCCAACAACAATCCGGGTCCTCATTTTACCCACCTCGGAAGGATGGAAGGCTGAGGCAACCCTGAGCCGGTGAGAATTGAACAGCTGAACAGCAGAACTGCAGTC